ACCTGGTGGCTTTGAACTTTTCTTGTCCATCTTCCATTGGTTTTAATTTTGCACTCCAGTATGAACACCCATCCCTCATTCAAATCATGAATACATAATGGACTTGGATTTACAACATTATAAATGAAATGGACTCTATTTGGAAGCAGCAGGGCCCCCTCCAGTCCTTTCGACGGCTTGTGTGTGAGACTTTAAATCATCAAACTGTAAATTTTACATTGTGATTGATCCCTTTACCCCTAGTCCTAAAGTGTATATTTATTTTCTTACTCTTCTTATATATCCTCCTGAGACCCAGCAGTTCATTTATGTGCACTGTAGTACACATTTAGTTTTTGCTTGTATCTCTCATACTCTACATGCCACTCTGCTAAATCCTGTTGTTTCTTAGAGAGGACAAGTGTACCTTTAAAATGATGTCACATGTGTGGGGGTGTGGCCTTGCCAACTATCCTTTTCCCTCCTTTTCAAAATGGCTGGCATCCCTACAAGCACATTTTATGGAAGAAGGAAAGGTAAGCATGATATTTACATTTAAAGTGTTTTTGCAACTCATATTTTGATAAATTTTCAAAAATAAACATCTAGTAAGTAATTTGAGGAAGTTTTCAGAACTAAGCTTATTTAATTTCACAGAGCAAATGACTAATTTATTAATGTGTACTCCAGTGCACGTCAGGACTTTGTACTTATTTTTATTTCACATTTTTCTAGTAGACAGCTCTTTGACAGAGGCAGAGAGAATTCTTAACAGAATCATTGAGGGAGATTCAGACATAGATCTTTCAGAAGATGAGAGTCATGTGAGCCAGACAGGAGAGGGTGAGAACCCAGATGAGGGACCAGACGAAGATGACCAAGATGCAGGGCCAGATGTAATGGAGAAAGACACAGGGCCAGCTGAAATCTGCCGTCGTCCTATCTGGTCCAAAACCAACATGTAGGAGAATCTGGAATTTTTGATTTTGAGTACAAAAGTACCAGTAACATACAGAAATGTTTTACAGTAAATTAAGTTAACTTGTAAAGATAGTGTAAAAGTGTTTTAAGTGAACTATATCGGATATTTGAGTATAAATAACTTTTCTGACTTTTGTTTTGCTAAGTAATTTTTCTTTATCTTAGGTTCATGCCTGTGTTGGAAGAATGCAGAATTCAAGATGATGGCACACTAATGACACGTAATGATTGGAGCCCACAGCAGTATTTCCAGCAGTACATTGATAAAAAACTAATTCAGGACTTGTCCTTCTTCACCAACCAGCGTATGGTACGGGATTCAGGGTGTAGTTTAAACACAACACCAGAGGAGATCAATACCTTTTTAGGAATCTCTGTGTACATGGCATGCCTTGGATATCCGAGAATTAGAATGTACTGGGCTGCCAAAACAAGAGTCGCAATTATAGCTGATTCCATGACACGTGATCGTTTCTACAAGATCAGGTCCTCGCTGAAAGTGGTTGACGATCTCAGTGTGCCAGAAAGCGAAAAGAAAAAGGATCCCCTGTGGAAAGTCAGACCAGTTCTAAAGAGGGTCCTCCAAGGTTGCCTCAATCTGCCCAGGCCAACAAAGGTCTGTATTGATGAACAGATCGTTCCATTCACTGGCCAATGTCCAGTTCGTCAGTTTGTACCTGGAAAGCCAAATCCAACAGGATTAAAAGTGTTTGTTCTTGCAAGTCCAGGTGGTTTAGTGCTTGATTTTGAAACCTACATGGGAAAGAACACCTTCACTCAAGTCCAACAGATGGGAATAAGTGGAAATGCAGTCTTGCGTTTAACAGAGACACTTCCTAGAGGATCACTAGTCTACTTTGACCGGTATTTTACCACCATCAGTCTTCTGGATGCTCTTAAAGAAAGGGGCCTTCTAGGTACAGGAACAATTCAAAAGAATCGAATCCCAAAAGAGTGCCACTTCACTGCTGACAACATCCTGAGCTCAAAACCAAGAGGTTCGTCAGAAATGATTGTACGGAGACCTGATGAAATAGCAGTCACCAAGTGGATGGACAACAAGCCTGTTGTCATGGCATCAACTGCTCATGGAATTGAGCCCCAGGATACCTGTTCCAGATGGTCAAAGAAAGAACAGAGACAAATCCAAGTCCCAAGACCTGCAGTGGTTGCAGAATATAATATCAACATGGGAGGGGTTGACCTATGTGATCGCATGCTCAGCTTCTACAGAATATCTAGCCGGACCAAGAAGTGGACTGTTCGCACCATACTTCATTTCATTGATCTGGCCATCACCAACTCATGGCTTCAATATCGACAAGACAGCGAGGCCATGCAACAAGCTGAAAAGAATACACAGTACCTGGAGTTCAAGCTCCTCTTGGCTGAAGAACTGATAAACAAGGGACAAACATGGGAACAAGACCTAAATAATACCAGTGATGAAGAGTTCTCTCCAGAAATCAAGAAAAGGAAGCCCCAAACAGATGAGAGTGTAAGAAAATATGGTGCACTCCACTTGCCTGAAATGGTTAACAGCCCAAGGCCTTTCAGGTGCAGAATGCTTGGGTGCAACAGTAAAACATATGTGAGATGTGTGAAGTGCAAAATGTTCCTCTGTGTATCCAAAAAATCACAGTGCTTTCTTAGATATCATAAATGAATGGACTTTTGTGAAATAAATTAAAAAAAAAACAGTGCAATCAGTTGTTCCTAGACGAATGGCCTACAGCCAGTGAAATGTCAGTGACTTCTAAGTTGACCCATGATCTACTGTTTTGTGATGTTTTTATGTAAATATGTTTTAAAATCCTGCTTACAAAGATTTCAGTGCAGCATTTAATTTTTTTAATCAGCTCTTGAATTTTGTTAGTTTCACATTCGTGATCAATGAACTCCCCTTGTGCACTGGAGTGCACATGTTGTAAAATTTAAATTAAATCTGTTAAAAACAAAATTGTTTTTGCAATGTGTTTTTTACCAAGCCAATACTTGATTTATATTAAAAAAATCAAAATCAAAATACTTTTTTTTCCTGGGTCTTAGGAGGATATATTGTTTGTTTACTTGCACTGCTGTAACTGGAGCCTCGTCCTCTCGTCTCTCTATATACTGTACTTATATAGCGGAGATGACAATAAAGTTTTACGTTGACTTCAGCAGCGAGCAGGTGCACCGAGGGCTCTCGCGCTCACTTTTCATGTACAGAATTTCGAAAAAACATCGGTGCAAATTATAAGTCTATATTATAATGTCTGGTGTTTTCGTGTTTGTTGGTTTGACCTCACAGCCGATTGTTCATTCAGTGGGCTGGTTTCAGTCCTTATGCAAATGTATTGTTTATGAGATTGGGGAAACCTGCAGTCAGCTGAGTCTGAAGAAGTCACTTGGATGAGTGACTAAATGTTTCTCCCACTGAAAATGCTGCGTCCAGATGAACAGAATCAACTTTTTTAAAGTGTTCTTGAGAAATAGCTCTCCAGGCTTTCCAAAGGTCTTTTGAAAGCTCTTCTTTACACGTTAGCTACTTTTTACTCATTTTCAGTCCAGTTCTTATACCTGAGCCTTCAGAAGAATTTCTTTGTATCGTTTTTTTGCTAAGCCACTGTAGACTGACGTACGAATCATTCAAGCATAAAAAGGCATCTAACCCTTGGGTTAGATCAACTTGGCAAAGAACCAGTTTAAATTAAATTAAATTTAAATTGTATTTTTGGGTATTTTGTTAAGATAAAGAGACAATTTGTTCTCATTTCTGTAATTTAGTCTATTAAATAAAATGACATAATATAAGGTTTTCACTCAGCATGGTTTGCAGCATGTCCTTCAAAAGAAAAAAAAAAGAGTGATACATACTTTCAGTTATCAACTGAAATGTTTGAAAATGGACTGGAGGTTCCAGTTAAGCTGAATGTATCATGTGTGCTGTGCTTCATGACAGGAGGATTACAGTTGATGTGCACACGAATGATTTGTGTTTCCTCTGCAGGTGAAGGTAGAAAGTGTGTGTGAGCTGTTGTGGATGTGAATTCAGCAGCATGGATCAGTGTGAGGACAGAGAGGAGGGAGTCCCTCCCTCTAAAACCACTCTGTGTGGGGAACATGAGAGCCAGAGGTGAGATGACCATCTCTAACTGTCCAGGACTCTAATCCATGTCAAAGCTCAGCACTCACATCACTGCTCCATCATTATTCACAGGAACCAATCTGGAGCTGAACCCAGCTGTGTGTCCTTAAAGAGTGACGGGTCAAAGAGTATTGGTGGCAATTTTAAAGAACAACCCTTTGCTGCAGAGAGGTAAGCTGATAGTAACGTGAACTCTGATAGCAAACAATTTGGTGTCTGATTTAAATGAACTACTTGATGATGTTTCATTGTCGCCAAAGTAATGGTAAATGGCCTGCATTTGTATAGCGCTTTTCTAGTCCATAGGACCCCAAAGCGCTTTACACTACATTCAGTCATTCACCCAT